AGTACACATTTTGATTCAATTTACACTCTTGAATTTCAGGTCATGTATTACCTGATGACTGCTAGCAGCTTGCTGTGCTTAATTGGAACCTGCGCTGTGCATTACAGAAATACTTGCTGACACTACTGAAACACACACTGAGGAATCCAAGTTTCATTTGTACTCAGGAAAAGAACAACTTCTTACACCAGCAGAACCCTCTCTGATCTATTCCCTCAAGTCTCAGTCCTTTCTGTCCCTTCACATCTTCTGATTTCTTACCACAGAATCACTCAGGGCAAATGGATCATTTGCAACATCAGTTCAAAGTAGTATTAACACCGAATTTAGAAATTGCTCCAGGCTTTACCCATTAAGGTTTTGGAAATCTTTGGGAACAGAGATACCATAGCTTTTCAGGGCAACCTGCTCCAATGCCTGACTGTCCCTATGGTAATGATTTTTTCCTTATGTCAAGTTTGAACTTCCCAGTTTGATTTGAGTTCACTGTCTCTTCTGAAACAGCTGTTGACCTCCGAAAGGGTATGACTCTTTTCTTGACAACCTCTCTGTGTTGTAAGGCTGTTATTAGGACCCCCTTGCCTCTTCTATGGGCTGGGCAAACCCACTTTCATCAGTCCCAAATTGTAGGACAGATGTGTGCTCCACTCCAACTATCCCCTTGCCTTTCAAAGGACTCCCTCCAAGTTTCTCACTATCTTTCTTGTATTTGGGGTATAGTGTGCCAAAACTGGATGCAGTGTCCTTGATATACTCTGAAAGAGAATAAACCCTTCCCATAATCTACTGGATAATACAGTTATGTATGCTGCTAGCTTTCATCTCTGACACAACTCATCATGGACTTATTTTTAGCTTGCTTTACTGCAAGAACTGTTGGCTCTTTTCCACAAAGCTGTAATCTTTGCCTAACTTCATTTAGTTACCAGGCTTTTCAGAGACAGATCCTTTCATGCACTTATATTTCTCTCCCATCACAAACAATCAAATCCTAATTATCTTCCCTCCAGTTTCTTTACTCCAAATCCAAATCTAGTTTGTTTCTCCCCATCACCTCTAAGATCTATGCAATCTGCAATTCCATGAAATCCTTTCTACATCAGATATTTAGCTTCTCTCTTCCCTGTGTTTGTATCATCTTCCTTCTCTCTGCTGCCCAGACTGAGCTTCAAAGACAACGTCAGATCTTACTAATGGTTCTAACCCAAGGACTCAGCCAAGAGATGAAACTACTGCAGACTTTCCTCCCTTCATTGATGAAAATTATGTGGAGACAGTATAGCCTTTAAATGAGCAAGCGTAAAACATCCTTCAAAAGCACACACCTGGTCAAGTGTGAGTGCACAAGAAAGACAGGAGGAAAGGATGAAAAAACAGCAACTCTGCTTAAGACAAAGAGAAACCCACATTACACACATTTCTTCTTTCAAAGCATTATCCTGACCTTTAATAAGAAGTAGTAGTCTAATAATTAAAAAATAATCAGAATAATGCATTTTCCCTGATTTATTTTTTTAGAACAGCAGAACTTTGGGTGTTGAAGTTGTCCAAGATAATTCAACCTAAGACATAAAGCAGAGATACAGTAGTATAAGCTTGGCACAATTATTGGGCAATTGAAATTAAGTTATTACTATTACAGATGCTGAGCAATTTGAGAAATACTCAGAAGCAGAAGACCCATGCGTGTGACTACACATTACATAACATATTTTCATTTTAAGTTTTAAATTTCATGTTTCAAAGCAGTGATGTATCTGTCAACTGTCCATCATTAACAAGGAAGTTACAGAATATCCCAAGTCAGAAGAGGTGCAACAAAAATCTTTGAGTCCAGCTCCTGGCTCCTGGCATACAGCACCACTCAGTATTCAAGCCCTATGTTTGAGAGTGCTATCCAAATGATCCTTGAACTGCAGCCTAGGGTAGTGCCCACCACCCTCTGGTGAAGGATCTTTTCCTAACCCACAACCCGATCCTCCCCTGACACAGCTCCATGCCATTCCCTCGTGTCACTGTCAACAGAGAGCACAGAGGAGCTGTGGAGCGGCTACAAGGCCTCCTCTGCTCCGGGCTGAACACACTAAAGGAATTCAGCTGCTCCTCATACATCTTGCCCTCTAGACCTTTCACCTTTTTCATAGCCCTCCTTTGGTCACCCTCTAGTAGTTTTATGTCCTTCCTATACTGTGCCACCCAAACCTGCACCCAGTGCTGCACAGCACAGAGCACAGTGGAACAACCCCTTCTCTCATCCAGTAGCAATGCTCTGTCTGATGCAACCCAGGGTATGGTTGGTCTTTTTGGCTTCCAGGGCACGCTGCTGCCTCATGTGCAACTTGTCGTCAGCCAGAATGCCCAGATCCCTTTCTGTGGAAATGATTTTCAGACTCTCATTCCCCAGTTTATACATAAGTTCTCTCAGGAAGCCAGCAGCAAACTAACCCAACATCAAAATCAGTAGAGATATCTGACCGGCCCATTGACTAGCACCGTCTGTACACATGGGAGTTTTCATAGTTCAAATTTTTTGGCGAAGAAACAAAGTTCCATCCCATTCCACTGTAGGAAGGGAGCAGTTTTTGAAATCTTTCCTCTCAGAGTCATACCACACCCCAAACCCTTTTCAAAGTTCTACACTGGCCGTGTTTGCTAGCACCAGCAGGAAGAAGTACAGTTAGGAAAAGGAGCAGTGATGACAACAGATTTTGCTTCACAGACTTTATGCCATATGCTTAAAATACATATATAATACATAACAAATATAAAATATTTAAAATATTATTTTATTAAAATAAAGTGTCAAAGCTACATCTAATATGGTGCCAGCCCACTGTGTTTCAGAATTGGCTTACATGAAGGATACACAAGCCTACTGAAATCCTAGGGAAAACTTAGATACCAAAAGGTAATTTTGCACATTTAAACATCAAGTCTAAGGGAAAACAGTAACTTTTTTATAACTTTTTTTTTTTTTTTTTCATATAAACATTCAATACTAAAACCAAAATCGATCTGATTCAGGATTCTGTGCACCTCTTTAATATACTTCAGCAGTAAGAGCCAGCTTGGTGCATGCTAAAAGTGCTTTATTTACACGCAGCATCACACAAACTTCGGCTGACTGAGGACGCCAGCAGAGAATTTCAGACCTCTTTCTTGAAAACTTAGTATTGCAGTTACAAAATAATAGTAAAATTCAGTTTTATCTCCAGGATACATAAATAAAGAACAGATATTTTTATATATTTGTATACAGAGGTCTTTCATACATTTTGAAAACTTAGGCCTCACAAAAATCTTGGTATAGTAACCCAACGCACATAAACTTATTGCTGAAATGTCTTTTTGAAGCACAGAGGAGTTGAATTAATTCTTTCATTAGTTCACCACAGTCCATAACTCCTAGTTTCAAATCTGTTTTATTTATTTTCTATCATCAATCAAATCAGTCAGCACTATTTATAAAAACAGGCAAGGATACTGCAATATACAAAGCAACTTTTCTTTACTAAATGAGATTTTATGACAAAATTTTCAACATCTAAAAATACATTTTCAAGTGAAGCACAATTCAGTACTATGGCTCTTATTGTTTTACCTATTTCAGTATCACGTTCATATTTCTTTGCAGACCAATGGTATAAATATTCAATGTTTCAAATACAGTAGCTCCTAGAAGCCCTGAACCACCCTATTAGATGCAGTACATATGGATTTTTGGGTAGGGAAAGAAAAAAATCTCATCACCTGAACAGATAAGAGGGAACAAAAAAATCTGTCCTTCTGCAGATCTGCTTTTGTGTTGGTTGGCTGTTTTTTCTTTTTTTTTCCTTTTTTTTTTTTTTTTTCCATAGAATCATAGAAATGTTGAGCTGGAATGGACTTCTAAAGGTCATCTAGTCCAACTACCCTGCAGTGAACAGAGACACCTACAGCTGAATAAAGCTGCCCAGATCCCTGTCCAGTCTGATCTTGAATGTCTCTAAGGATGGGGCATCCATCCATGTCATCTTTGGGCAACCTGTGTCAGTGCTTCACTACCCTAATTGTAAAAAAAATTTCCTCCTTATATCCAGTCTAAATCTCCCCTTGTTTTGTTTGAAACCATTTCCTTCTCCTGTCACCACAGACTCTGCTAGAGAGTCTTTCCCCTTCTTCCTTATAGCCTCCTGTAAGAGACTGAAAAGTTACCATCAGGTCTCCCCGGAGCCTTTTCTTCAAAACTGCACAGAAGTATCTACATCTATCCTAGTGATTGAGGCCAGATCTATGGGCAATAAATGCATTTTATTAGTTGTATGGCTGGTTCCATGTTTGTTGGACTTTTCTTTTTACAGTATTCCTTTGCATGGATAATAGCAAAAGCAAGACAAATACAACAAATATGTATGCAGCAATATTTCCATTGGATAAGCTGTCCAAAAGAAGATAGGATACTGTACCTAAGTGCCAAAGGCTCATACATGTGCATATATACTTTCATATTTATATATGTATACTGCATATATATATTTATACACACAGAATACACACATATATAAATGTGAGTGCAGAAACAATGAAGTCAGAAATCCAATTTGTCCTACTGTACTGTGCCTAATTTCATTGTGTTTCTTTCTATGCCCAACTTGTTTACATATATGCATGCACATATTCCCTGAAGATTGAGCTGTCAAAGCATCTTATATATCTTATTTCCAGGAAAACTCTTAGTAAATACTAATAGATTTTAGTAATGTCCTGTTGTCCTCAGGGAAGAAGCAAGGCAGTGGCAACCATTCCACATACTGACGAGCATTTGCTTCATTATCCTGTGCTTTTAGATGTTTTTCCTTCCCAAAACAAATTTCTATGTCAAACTAAGAAAAAAACAACAAAAATAAACAGAAACTAGCTGACACCACTATTTTGTGATGAGTAATATACAGTTTCATTATCCTTCCTTGTACTCCATGCTTCAGGGTTTCTTTTTAAGGGTTTTTTTGTTGTTGTTGTTTTTTGTTTTTTGTTTTTGGTGAAACAAAGCAAAGTAAGATGCACTTTTGTTTTAGTTTTCCATTTCTGTATAAAACAGAATGGTCCTGTGTTCATGCTATACTTTGTGGTCAACTCCTTCTTTGATTTGCTTCACTGAAATTACTTCAAAGCCAAAAAACCATGTCTTTACAGCTGTTGTTTAGACTCTCCCATTGTGTAAAAAAAATTGTCTTTCTGGCAATCACGTGACGTTTTTATCTTACAAGTACGTCTGGTCTACTTCCTGTTTTGGGTTTGCTTATTAGACCAAAGATTAGATTTCAGAAGCTGATGGTGGAAGGAAAGAGACTGAATTGGCAGTTATAGTAGAATTCAATTTCTTTTTTCTTTGACAAATGCATTGGAAGAAGAAGAAAATTGCACTAAGCATAGTTACAAAAATAAAGGGCTTCAGAGGAGTCTAACTGCACCAAAAAAAGTACCATCTCCATCCAAGGATATTTTAGCTCTTCTTCGTGGTATTGTAAGTTGAAGTTCATCTCCTTCTTCTAATTTTGCAATGCCTGACAAAAGATTTGGAATATTTTTAGTTAATATTTCACAGACATTATTTTCAAAGAAGTTCTTGAAAACGTCATTGCGTATCGTCAAACAAATCTAAGCATGGCTTGTTTTGTCTTTAGGCACAACCTTATGTAGTTCAAACTACCCAAATCTTATACTTGACAACCTCTGTGGAGCTGGATTCACCTTCCTTTCCTTAGCAATTCCATTCTGTACTCAGTGTGTCAGTTCACTTAAGCAAACATTGCCAAAAAAAAAAAAAAAAAAAAAAAAAATCACGTAACTGCAGTGCGCCCAGATTGCTCATCTTATGCTGATGTGGCAGCCAGGTCAGCACTGGGCTTTGCTGGTCCTAGATAGCTCTGTTCCCATGCTTATGGGGGAGACTTCATCAGCTTTACCAACCAAGTGAAGTTAGCAGACATCAGGTGACCCACTGCAACTGCGGAACTCAGAAGTCTATTTCCTTCAAGCAACACATCAGCTGGTGTGATAACTGAAAGCACCTAGCTTTCATGCTGAACTGGGAGCAAAAGTGACTTCTGCAGCAATACATGTTCAACAGCATGAGAAGCTGCAACAAGATTTGGTTTTCCAGGTGAAAGCAAGTGGTGGGAAAGCAAGAATCACGAAGTGGCAGGATGGAGCAGAGATCCTAAGAAAGAAATGGTGGAGGGAGCATAATACAAGGGTAGGATAAAACAATACATGAAATTGAAAGTAATTGTGATATCCAAATAAGTGGATGGAAGGGCAGGAAGTCTGGACAGTCTCAGTTTCTGTGAGGGAAAAAAAAATTCCTTCCCAGTCCCATTTGTCTAGTGCCACCCAGCCACCTACAGTCAGCTCCTGTTACTGAATGTTACCCACATTTTACACAAGGTATTGAAAAAAAAAAGGCTTTTATTCACAGAGACCTTGCCAGAAAATAACAAAGCTGAAAATCCTCAAATCCCTGAGCAAAGAAGAAAGACAGACAGATAAGAGCTGAATGTGGTTTGATAGGCCTAGACAATAATTCCTGAAATGCTACAGCAGGAAAATACATACATATTATGCACTGAGCTTACTCAACTTGCATTAGATATTTCAATGGGTCTTCTTTTGTGGTGTTTCTGATTAGTGCAGTCAAAAATCTCTTCACAGAAATTAACTCTTTTTCATCTAACCAAATAACAAATCTGCTGTACTAATTATTAGGAGTAGAGATTTAAGCTGATAATGAACATTCTTGAAAAGCGAGATGTGTAAAAAATGGGTGGCTAAAATTCAAGTGTGCTCCTAAATATTTTACTGGCATATTCAAATGAAGAAATCAATACCTAAGTTAAGCTCAGTTTTCTTCTAGAACAGCATGTACTCCTTTTGTCTGCTTCAGGCATTTAACTGTGAAAGCATCAAAGTATCCAATCATTTTATAAGGTTAATGGAGAGAGGGGAATTGCTGAGATCATGTAATTACATGCATAAAGTCCAACTGTTGAGGCTTTATGTAAATCCATAGTTTTCGAAAGTATTCTGCAGTTTTGCAATTGACTGGCTCCTTGAGTGAGGTTCATTTTGTTTATAACTCCCAGAATCCTTAATCACCCACCACTGCAGATTCCATTTAATACAGTTTATTTGCAAACAACAGAAAGAAAAAATATAAATGTTTACCAGCAGTATAGCAAGAATTATTTGGATAAGACTGTGGCATATTTTGGATGCAACGAAATAATGTCACCAAGCTGAGATCATCACCAAACACGTGAGCTTTCTTCCTCTGTATTAGATGTCCCATTGCAAATGTTGTATCAGTATATAAGACCTGCAGGATGAAGAGATACAGACTTCAAACATTTTGTATGGAGACATTAAAAATCCTTTAAAAGCCAGATGCTGAAGTGAATTGAGCTTTCTTACCTGGCCATATATGAAAAAATATCCTGTTTCTTTGATCACAATTTTATTTCCCTGTTCTTCCAGAGCTGTACCACGCTTAAAGCTCAGAAGCCAAGGGACAATGCTTGAATCATCTAAAAGAAATAAGAATTTTGGAGTAATCAAAAAACAAAACAGAACACCAACCCACAAATTCACTTCCCTAGTTTTCATCTGCCAAAAGTTAAGAAAGCTGACTTTTAGTTAAGACTTCCAGTCTCACTGGATTTCCCCCTTAAAAGAGGATATTTGCGAGAACTGTCCAGCTGCAGAGACTGCATTATTTTATTTTATTAATTTATTTTTAAATCAGGCCAGATAACTCATTTACTGCTTTGAAGCTAGCTAAAATAGGGCAGAGAGCTAAGGCATGGAAAAGTTAGCTATCAACCATAGAATATATTCCTACCTTTCTGTTGGATATCACTTTTGCTGTCTGCAATCAGTTGCAAGCAGGCCTGCAGCACTGCAAAGTGAAAGCATACAAATCATTTGTAGAATACAATAAACTTTTGAATTACTTATTAAAAAAAAAAAAGAAAAAAGGATGAACATGAAAAAAAATTCTTAGTCTCAACAGTTTGAAAACAGAATCTTTCTACTAATTTCAAGGTGGGTCTTACTTAAAGATGCCAGGACAAAATTGATACTGCAATATGTACTTCTTTCAGAGAACATGCAGATAAGTGTGAACCTCAAACAGTAGCATAAATTATACTTGCTTGTTTTAATCTTTGGTCCTAGTATAGTCTACAAATGCAGCAGCAAGTTAGATGAGGTAGGAACCATCAGATCAATTAGCTCTGTTAATTTTTGGTGCAAAAGCTCAAAAAACTCCAACCCTGTCAGCTATGACAGATACCAGATTTTCTAATGATACTTACTATATTACTTAAATTAGTTTCCAGTTATGGATTCTGTAAAATGTTAATGATATGTATTGGCTACAGAGTAATTTCAAAAATAGCAAGTGTAAACTCTCAAAATCCATGTAGATGTACATGCAATGTATTTTTCAGGAAGCCACAGTCCTTCATCCTGTACACTAAGAGGGAAAGTACAGAAATGACTGGTAGTAAATAAATGCACACACAACAAATACCTTAATATGTGACAAAAAATGAACTATTACTCAAAACTGTAGAGGCTGAAGAAGCTAAAGAGTAAATAGGAGATTGATCTGTGAAAAAAACCACTGTGCTATTTTGAAATAAAAGCTCCGAAGTGATATGAAGATATTTAAAAACTAAAAATAAAAATCTGCTAACCTCCTCTGTCAGTATACAGAATAAAAGACAAAGGGATAGAGTATTTTTTCATGAGAACATCTGCTTGGAGGGGTATTTTGAAGGCCAGAAAGCAAAGTTGTCACATTTACTACACTCTTCAGAAACAAATACTAAGTTAAAAGAAGAAAATTCTGCCTTGGATTGCAGGAACTCCATTTTTGCTTGTCTTTTTTTTTTTTTTCCTCCAATAAAAATGCTATGGGCCACATTCAAACACTCTTACTATAAAGGGCAGTGCCCTATTCCATGAGGTCACATTTCTACACCTGTCAGTGGCACCCCTGTGCCAAACCATGTGTCCATCAGCACCCACCTCTCACTGCACTGTATGGAATGACAGAGTTGGAGAAGAAAGCAGCCTCCTGCACATACCTAAGTCGCTTTTCAAGTGGGCTGTCAGCAAACACCAGAGGAGGGCTAGGTGTTGAACAGCATGCTATTGGCATCGACAGGCAGTGGGAAAAGATTCAAGTGTGGAGTCTCCTTCTCTGGAGATTTTCAAGACCCACCATGTGCGACCTGGTGTAGGGAACCTGCTTTGGCAGGGGGGTTGGACTTGGTGATCTCTGCAGGTCCCTTCCAACCCCTACAGTTCTGTGATTTTGTGATTCTGTGTGGGAATGCTTCTAAGTTTCAAGAACCAAAGAACCCTAACTGAGCCCTACTGTCATCAACAGGAGCACTATCCTGCAAACTCCCATTCAGGAAATCAGTCAGTACTTCCTACAAGACACCGAGAAATTTGTGGATTTTCAAAACAATCATTTAAAAGTATCTAGATTTATAGAATCATAGAATGGCCTGGGTTGAAATGGACCATAATGAACAACTAGTTTCAATCCCTCTGCTGTGGGCAGGATTGCCAACCAGGCTTCCAAGAGCCACATCCAGCCTGGCCTTGAATGCCTCCAGGGATTCCCTGCCTTTTGACAAGAAAAGAAAACTAAGTCAACAACAAAAAGTCTTACACTTCATTAATTTTTTTAAATCTCAGTTGTGACAAAATGTTCTGAAAGAGAAGCTTCCAAACAAAAACAAAATACGATTTTCTGGAATTGCACAACAAAGCACATCAAGCAATTTATTTCACAAGGTATTCATTTACTCTCCCTTGGAACAACGTGCCTTTCTAGTGAAGGTAATATGCATGTTCCCTACTATTTCAGCAACCCAAATCAAAATTTTCATTCCTGTTTTCAAAGGAACTCATCAGTGTTGCCACTGGAATTTCCACTAATCAAACAAGAGAGTAAACAAGATTTGTAATCTTGATTTGTGTTAGTTTCATTGCAGCACTGAATTACTAGTCATCTTTCCCGAAAACTGCCATACAGTAATTGAAATCAGCAAGTTCAGTACAGGGTGAGAACTTTTCCATAAATTTTAAAACACTTAAAAGTTCTGCTGCATTCTGCACAGATTTGAGCTCTGCTCTGTGTGACAGCGACAGGGCCCGAGGGAACGGCATGGAGCTGTCAGGGGAGGACAGCTGGGGGTTGAGGGGAAGGGCTGCACCACAGTGTGGTGGGCATGGAACGGGATGCCCAGGGCTGTGGGCACGGCCCCCTGTGCTGGAGTTCAAGGAATGTTTGGACAGTGTTCTCAAACACTGGGTTTGAATGTTGGGTGCCCCTGTGTGGAGCTGGGAGTTCGACTCTGTGATCTCTCTGGCTCTCCTTCTGCTTAGGATATTCTATGATATCAAATCTATATAATCCCCCCCAAAAAACATCTTTTCAGTTAGTGCATACAGAATCCATAGTCTTCAAGGCTCAACAGAATAAAGTGAATTTAGTTGTCAGGAAGAAATATGGATATAGAAATGTCATACATGACAATAAAGAAAACAGAAACCAGCACAGTGACCATTTTATCTAAAGCCACAAAAAGGAAAAGTAATTTCCTAGAAACTATTTGGGGGATTGAACAGCAACATGCTTTAAAAACAATTGCTCAGAAGCCACTACTAACACATAACTATTTCCAATCACAGATACAAGTACTTCACTTTGACCTCGGTGGAACTATACATGTGCTTAAAGTTAAATAATTCATTAAACAAATTCAAAGCGAACAAGTTTACCACTTATTAAACATAGAACATGGATATACAAAGTTTATTTTCTGGGGAGAGTAATAGGAATTTTCAGTAAAAATACTGATGTTGTTAAGAAACGTTAAAAATTCCTAGAAAGACCCAGGTCTTACCTGAAGTAAAATATAAAAATATATATAAGACCAAATATGACTTGAATATTTACTATCGCTACAGAGCTGAGTAAATAAAAAGCTCAACCTGAACGTCTTTCAGTTCAGTGTAGATCAAACCTGAACATCAGTTTTGTAGTCTAAAGTATTTGGGGACACTTAATAATGTAAGCAGAAAACATAACTAGTAAAATACTTCTTAAAAATATATAAAAAGTATCTAAAGTGAGCATCACTTGGAGGATTCACTCCAAGTGGATTCACGTACAAAACAACGTGTACCTAGAATAGCAGGAGGTCGGTGTGCCCTGACCTCTTTTGATTTCAGACAGAAGTTTTGCTTTGATGAAAATTCTTTTCTTGTGATGTAAACTGCGCTGCAGTGTGTGGGTGGGAGAAAAACATTTCAGAATCTTCTTCCATGAACAAAATGACCAATTCTGAAGAAGTTAATGCCTCCAGATGCCCTTATAAAACCACAACTAGCATATGAATGGATGTGTTCTCTACCATCTGAGCAATGTAGCCACAGCTCTGGGGAAAAAAAAAAAAAAAAAAAAATAGAGCTAGCTTTTGTAGAAGGATAAGAACTGAGCTTTTTGCATATCTGCATAATTTAAGACACGATATCCATAAGGACAAGTGCCCCCTCCCATGCAGGTTTTTGAATCATTTAACTGCCATTACCTTTTTAATACCTTGCAATCTAACTTCATAGTCCATTCAAAGAAAACAGCAAGTTTGTTATATGCAAGCTTGCACATAAATTTTTAAGCTTCAGTATCTGAGGCTGAGAAACCCACCTCAAGTTTTGCTGAAGCAAAAAATAATTTTTAAAAAATCTGAACTTTCAAAACTAGACCTGCTTGTTTAGGTTCCTTCTTTGGTCATGGTCTGTCTTTGTTGACTTCCTGAAACATGCTTAAATACTAGATAATTTAATTTATAAATGACATGCATGTTCTTGGATGATGTGCAGCTTTTCTTCCCTTCAGTTATGTATTTCTTATCATTAGATATCTTCCTTTTCTTTCTGCTTGTGCAGGTTTATAGACTAGTTTCTTTGTTACGTTTTTATTAATAAGTCTTTTTGTGTCATTAATCATGGATAAAATCAATCCCAGCATAAAAATTGCATTAACAGATGTGACCCAGATCTAACAAATGTCTTTGAAGTATTGGTAGTATTATTTTGATCTCTAATGGAGTCACCAGTAACATGTTAGGATCAGTGTAATAAGGAATAATTTACTAATGTTTAAGAACAGTTTATATAGATTTCTATTATGCAGTATAAAATATTCTTTGTGTTTTAGATTGCACAGTAGTCTGCATAATACACAACACTGATTCATTCATTCAGTTGACGGAATCCTTCAAGTAAGATTGCAAGTGGTGAGTAAAGTCCTTTTCTACCCTTTCACACTGAAGAGCATACTTCCTTTAGAGATGGCCTGTTGTCAGCAGAAACTAAAAAGAATAACGTCTTTCAAGAAGTAAGCTTAAAAATATATATATTTAAAAAAATGAAAAGAGAACTCTTATGCTTCCCCTCTTCAAACAGCAAAATAAGTAATTTGAGTATTTGGTAAGGGAATTTCATGCAACATTTGTTTCAGGCTAATGAGAAAATGTTAGCTTTTCTGACTGAAAGATCTCTGAAGTCAAGTTCCACTCATAACAGTTTGTGCCATCTGTCATGGAGACCTGTCGTGTCGCTGGAGGCGTTCAAGGTCAGGTTGGATAGGGCCCTGAGCAGCCTGACCTGGTGGGAGATGTCCCTGCCAATGGCAGGGGCTTGGAATTGGGTGGGCATTCAGGACCTTAACAACCTAAATCATTCTGTGATTCCATGATTCTATGAAACAACATAGAGTCAAACTGGTTCTAACCAGAAAATGTACCACTCTGTGGATGGAAATATACCAATTTGCCATAAGGCAGTTGTACCAAGAACAATGGCAAAGGTGATGCCTTCTCACAACTTATACTCTATGCTTTTATGACATCAGTTGTTTTGTGTGAATGCAAGTGACATGGGAGAAGAACTTGAGAACTGCTAGTGAAAAATTGCCAAGTCAATTGCTGGCTTGTCCTGTTTCATTGCTTTGTGGACTCTGGATTTCTTTTCAGTTCCTTCCATATACACAGTCATACTGTTTGAAATGGATAACCACGATATCCTGAAGTAAATAACCACAGGTGTCCTGATCTGATCAAAGCAGAACTTTTCCTAAATTTAAGTTTACAAAAGACCTGATGCTCACCTTCCTAGCTGACCATGGGAATCAGAACATGCAGTGATTATCTGAGCTAGACACCTAGAGAGTGTGCAAATTATACTTTGTACTCTGAACTGTCTTGAGTAATGAGACCTGTGTCTTGATCCCGGACTGAAGAACTTAAACATGTCAGAGAGCAGCATGCTGGCTAGGCAATCAGTAATTGTGAAAAGGATAACAGGAGGGGTTTCTGTTTCAGCTTTCCTCTACAGGCAAAATTTAGAAAAAGTCAAGCAAAATAGAAAAAGTGTCTCTGTTCCTAACTGTCCTGATATGACATCTGCTAGAAGTAGTTAGATGATCTATCTGTCTGCATATTAATAAAATCCTCACTATCTCCCACTCATTGTATCAAAAACTCTTGTTCTGGCTGCTAACTGTGTAGTTTCATTTGGAACTAATGCTCAAAGCCCATTCCTTCAAAATACTTGTGCTGGAAATTTTCTCAAGACACAAAATGTACAAATTTGATGACTGATACTTTTATTCATGAACACTGACTAACATCTAGCCTATAAAAATATAGCATTGCATTAGATCTATTTTTGTTTGATTGTCATTTTAATTAAAATTGTAACTTGTGGCCACTTTTATATAAGTAGAAGATTTGTAATATAATTCTTTTTCTTTTATTTGTATACAAAGTAAGATAATTGGATAATTGTGTTAGGAAACATTTTTGTAGTACATCAGCCTATGCAGGTTTTCCCTTTCAAATAAATGTTCATATTCTGTGCTGTTATCCATATATATTAATTTGAAAACTTAATTAGAAGCTCAGATGAAGAAAGATATATGGATATAGTCAGAGGTGGTTGTCTGGGGAGAAGAATTTTAAGCCTGCAAGAAGAGCTGAGGAACCCAAAAATCTCCTCTCCCCCGTGCACTCTCAAATAGCAGTAAGATGAAAGCTGCTGTGAAGGGAACAGAATAACTTGCAGATTGCTAATGCCCGTAACATTCATTTAAAAGAAGACAAGCCTCCTTATGTTTGGTGGTAGTTGTGACTTAGGTATAAAAGTTGACTAGTTTTTATTTGCGAGACTAGGGTGGGGGAAGCTCTGTGACTACCACAGTAATAAACAAGTTTCAAGAAAAATGATTGAAGCAATCTTGTCTTCAATCTGATTTGTGAAATCACTGTTAACCAAGACCCTGGACCAATGATTACTAATATAATAGAATAAACCGCATTTGAGCCTATGGAATTTGAATCATATCCTAAATGAATATTATCTTCTGAGAGACTTGGAGGTAAATAGAGTGATCATGCTATAGAAGTTAAATTTCGGTTAGCTCTCTGAATCCTAACATTTCACATAAATTAATCAAAAATACATTTTAAGCAAACTCTGATTTAGTCTTTAGCTACAAATTATTTCATTTTACCCTTAATCAGTAATTCAAGATATCAGCTTCCATCAGTCAAGACAGTCTAAAAGTATCTAAGGAGACTGAACTGATTTAGCAACTCTGGAACATTTTTACTTACACTCAGTGTAATTAGAGTACGCAAACTGCTATGTTTAAATTCAACATTTCATTTTATCGTACATCAGTGTATTTGGAAAGGCAAAAAAAAAAAAAAAAAAAGGGGGAATTGTATTCCCGCAGAAAACAATTGTATCCCATTAGATTCATCAACATTATAATACACATCAGAGGTGTTTTATAGAGCACAGTATTCAATATTTACTACAGCACCTTTTAAAAAATGCCATAGTATTAGCCTTATTGCATGGGCATGCCTTTATTAGCTTTGCTAATTATATTAATAGATGGTTTTATGCAAAGCTAATGCTAATCTTCTGAATTCTTTGTAGTCTGCCTTTTCAGACAGGTATAAGCTAGCCTTTCTTTTTGAAAGCTCCTACTTCCGTAAAGTCAAGGAGTTTTGTTGCTACTTCTCTCTTTTAGGATGAGTATGTTTTCCCAGAAAAATGACTTGACAATTTTTAATAATAGCTTTCCTTCTCTAATATTCACCAGAGAGAAACAAGTTAAGCATTACCCCGAACTGCGAATGATGGATTTAGAATCAAGCAACTTCCAACATGAAAAAATTCCTACAACTCTACTGTTGATCACTGAGAAATATGTCAGTCACAAGAACAGGGAACCAATGTTCAAAATTCACCCTGCAGACAGCAGCAATATCTGGTACCTTAAGCAGTGCGGTAATCAGCAAAGCAAATGCAGTTCACAGCATCATTTAATAATTACTACTTATAATTTTGTAATTATAATAAGCTTTCAGAACAGTACTCAGCTTACAGGAGGAGATGTGAGCCAAGCATTGCTGCTTGTCTCCAGAAAGCAACCAGCTGCAGCATCCCCTCCCACTCCGCCCAGTACTATTTACCTGTTTCTTCTGTGTGGACAATAGACCTTCTCCCCCTGTTTCTGCCCCCATCCCAGATTTCCTTTTGGAGACTTTCAGCTGGGCTAGGGCCAGGCAGCCTGTTCTCCTAGCAGGAACAGACAGCAGTCAGTGTGAGCAACCCATCTCCTGCAAGTTCATCCCCTGCAGCCATCACGCAAGCTTACCTGCCTGGCGCCAGCTGCAGACACTTGCAGGAAGGAAGAAACAGGGGCACCTGCTTTCTTGTCACCAGAGGACACAGGTGGCTGCTCTAGCGGAGACCTCGGCCGGACCCTGTAGATCAGCTCACTGCGCAGAGCTTCTAGCTCTGTTTTCAGGGTGATAGCATGGTAAAGAGACACTGCTGCAAGACAAAAGGACAGGAGCATTGCAAGCCACAGGAATGTGACAGAAAAAAGTCCCGTGGTGCCTGAAGCAGCACCGGGGGGGTCAGAGGGAGAGGAGGCGGTATCCTTCTGCTGGATGACGTGCACACAGTCCACGGATTTCATCGCTGCTCTTTCCTCACTAAAGCCAGAGGGAGAGTTCAGCTGTCCCCTTCCGTACTGCAATCCATGTTACCCGTTGCTCTGTGAAACTAAGGGCATCCAGATTAAGTGAACAAAACGCCCAGATCATTTCCTGTCATATGAAGCCGTTGATACAACCATTAAACCTAATGTACAGAGCGAACATCTGATTCAGTCTCCGTTTAGCTTTCTTCTTTCTGCACTGCATTCTGGCAATGAATACTTTCTGATGAGCTGCTTGCTCAGTCTGCCTTCCTCCTTTCATTTTCAGCTATTTATTTTGGTGGCAACTTGCTTTCACCATTTCCCATTATCTTTAAATTTAGGCACGGCTGCTACCATGGGTATTTAAAACCTTATCTAGAAGTGCAGAAACAACGTAAGGTTTCCTTGCAGCATATCTCTGAGTGCTACTTAAAAGAGATAAGCATATGACATTATGCATGCCTGTAAGTGTATACATATATGTTTGTAATATAATATGTATATATATGCATACATATCTGAAGTGACTGTAAGCCTACAGAGTGGCAACTTATTGAAATACCAAGTTTTGTGTTTTCCTAAAAACAATGGTGAAAAATATTCTCAGGTGTGTATAACAAATTACTGGTCTCTCAAGCATATAAAGTGGCAGAGTCTACAGTTCAATTCATCATGCACTTGGAAAGGATGGCATCTAAACAAACTCATCTGATAAATGAGACCCCACTGTAGAATTCAAGGACCTGTGTTGATGCACATGGGGACAGAAAGTGAGGGAGAGGAGACCTAGAAGGAAGTGGAAAACTAGAAAATAAGAAGGAATAAGAGAGGGGAAAGAAGAACAGGGAGAAAGAAGAACCGATGGGTGTAGAAGGAAAATAACGTTTAGAGAATTTCAAAAAGGGAACATTAAACATGCATGCTAAAGCTTTTCAGGTAGATCCTTTGTGCATGGCCTCAGTTAATTTCCTTTTTAAGATTTTACTGATCCTTCCATCTTAAACTCATGCATAAGGAATTCTTTTCTTCTACTAAAACATCCCAAACACATGCATATGCTTCTTGTATTGTCTTCTCACAAAAAAAAAAATATATATATAAATTTTTTTTTTTTTACTCCTTCATTAAGGGTTTCAGTGATCTGAACCAGAAAGCAAAATAAAAAAGAATCACAATCAGGACTGAAATGAACAGATCATCCCCCACTGCAAACTACAATTTTTGGTCACATAGGTAAACTTTAGCTGCATGAGAAAGAGAAAGCTTTTAAGAGTCTGTTCAAATACTGTGCAAGTGAGTTGCATCTTCTGACCCTACCTGTCAGAACAGTTCAGATTAAGCTGATACTGTTGGGAAGGAGAAAGAAGGAGCAGAAATAAAGCAAAAAAAAAAAAATAAAATAAAAATAGGTAGTCTCTCCCACATCTGTTTCTTAAGATTGTAGGAAATTGGTGTCATTAAAAGTTTTATCAACTCCCATTGCAATCCAAGGTACTCTTTTCCTTGCTTTGCCACCTCTAACAGTTATTTAATATCCTACATGGACAAGACATTATTTTCCTAAAAGGAGAGAAAAAAAGAAATGCATACCACATACCTTAATGTGCTTCTAGAAGATGCCTACATCCTTGAAAAGTGACACCGGTATACAGTGGAATGAGAGCAGAATACCATGTCATACCCTGTCTGTATCTGTTTGCAAGGCTAAGGTGTAAATGGGACTACATTTTGAAGGAAACTTAAGATGTATTAAGGTAGGTTTTGGGCACATAATAAGCAGTTATTAGAGCTAAACAGATGTGCCTTTAGGTATCACTGAACATCAGAATATTACCATTCTATTACTGTGTTCAAAATATAATATGACAGCCAGAAAAGGCACAGTAAATGAGAAAATGAATCAAATTGAGAAAATAAAAGTCATAACTAGCTGTCCAGGAATACTGGGAATAAATTGGCCAGTGAGGTCTCTGTTGTCATTAACATACAAGAAAGTAGCTGACAGGTATATAATTAGCATCAATCTCATTACTTCTACAGAAAAGGCTATTTCCAGCTCCCACATCTTTAAAGGGGTTCACTATTTGGGCTGACAAAATAATTGCAGTGACACAGAGGTCTTCTGTAAGACATCTGGCTTTGGCTTGCTCATCATTCTGACAGATGAGAACTTCAAAGGGGAGAGGAGGCAAATCAGAACAACCCACACATTGCAAATTCTTAATTCAACAGGTGTTTCTATTCAAATATCAAAGGGATCAGTCTGGTTTTGATGGCATGCTGCTCTACGGTTTCGCAAGCATTTAAGTGATGAGAAAGGAAGTACAATTGTTGATGAATTTTGCAGTGACAGAAATGTAGTGGAACAATAAATAATGACAGTGAGAGATCAGTCATGGGGGAAAAAAAGCACAAACTGCCTTATATAGTTGTACAACTTAATATTTTATCACAGTAAAGCAAAGCTTTTTTAGGCCTCAAAAGGCATCAGAACAACATCTCAGAAAGTTGAGTTTAGAAAACAAACAAGCATGCTGGCTTCAGGGCCAAGCACGTGGATTTCATGGGCAGGTGGTGCCTTGGGGCCAGGCCCTGTCACAGCGCAGTACAGGAGGCCTCACACTTGCCTTAAAGCAATGCCAGTAGGGTTCTGTTAACCTTACTGGCATTGCTTTAAGGCAAGTGTAAGGTGCAGTTTCTTCAGCTCCTTAAGTCACAGTATTAGTAAAGTGGGCTGCTCAGGTTAGGACAGCCCATTAGGAGACGTGAGAGAGTGTTGACTCCCTCTGAACACGAGCTCTCAGTAGGATTTCCATGTTGAAACAGAAGTGGAGCTTTTGGATATGCATAGTGGAGCAAAATACTGTGCTAAAATAAGAGGCAGTTATAGCTGTGCTTTTAACTTAGTGAAGATGGGTCAGAACAAAAATCCAGAATGACTATACATGTCAGAATGAGCTTATCAGAGAAAGGGCATTCACTCCGTGGTTAGCAGCCTGTTTCTAGTGCCTGTCTTTCTTGAAATCTCTTGTGCAGAAGTTTGTGCCATGTTAACTGTTTTGGCTCAGGATGCATGCACTGTGCTACAAATCCCTACAGTAAAACCTTAGGGCAACAAGTGGCCACCACAAGCTCAGTTCAGAGCACCTTTTTCAAAACGATTTTCAGAAAATAAAATGCCACTGCAATAAATTGCAGTAGTCTACTCCTTGCCATACAACACTGGAAATAAGTAGGATTAAATTTTCAAAATAAAGCTATTCTGAAAATATGGCCTATTCTACATGCACAGTATGGCTACTATGATTCATGCACAGATAATCCAACCATTTAGTGCCACCTTAGTCCAAATAGTGAGCTACATTAAACACAAAGTAAGAGACTTTTCTAATTTCACCAAAGAAAATTATTAAGAAATTGGATTAGCTGGTCTAAAAATTATTGTGAACCCAGACTTTTACTTCTGGGAGAAAGAGCATGAGATAGAATCATAAAGGTTGGAAAAGATCTCTAACATCATCCAGTTCAACCTTCCACCTACCACCAACCATGTTTCTTAGTACCACATTTACGTGTTTCTTGAGGGTATAAGTCAAACTAAGAAGGGGATAAAAATAATATTTAAAAAAAACCCCAAAACTTTACCACTGAAGATTAATAGTGATAAGGGTGTTTTGCTAGGAAATCTTTGCTGGGTTGGATCTTTAACAAAATGAAGACTGGTTAGACTTCTGAGATACTACAACTGAAACAAACGCTGTAATTTCTGCAAGCAGCTGAATTCTTTTCTTTCCGTTACACAGAATGTCTGATTAAAAGGTCAAGATGGGCCCTGCTAACCTGCAAATGTGTAAAACATTATCACTACAACTGTGGGGAACCAAAGCAGAGATAGTGAGCAGTCACACAGGAAATTTGTGGTTGAACCAGAAACTGAACCCTTGATTTCCTGAAATCCAGCACTGTACTTTAACCACAAAAAGCATCTTCTGCTTTGAGAGGGAAGAAAATCTGATAATGAAGTTTAATGTAAAAAAAGAGAAGCAGATGATTTGAATAAGAAGACCTGGATTAAAAAAAAAAAAAAAAAAAGAAAAAAAAAAAAAAAAGAAAAAGCTTATTGAAGAAATGTAAATTCACTTAAAATTATTACTTAATACTTAAATACTTTAAATACTTTAAAAGAAATTTACTTAAAAACAAATGTTCTGTTTTTAACAGGGAGGTTGTACAGATACAACACAGAGATCCAGCCAATATCAGTGATCATTTTAAGAGTACATTTCCAGTGGTAAAAGTCCAATATACTTCTGAAATAGCCACAGAATAGAAGTGGTCCCTGTGGCTATTATAAAAAGAGACCAACTACAGTACTTGCCATACTACAGAAGACAGGCCTGGGCAGATAGAGCACAGAATAGGCAAAGCTTATGCATTTCAAGTTCTTTCTGATGATGGAGAAAAGGGTCAACTATTCTGAAGATTAGAATAAATCCTGTAGGACAGCTTCTGCTGTTACAGTTATCTGCATTAAGATCATTTATAGACAGCATTCTGAAACAGCACACATTATCTTTAAGGACACTTACTAAGTTCCTCCAGCTATCAGCCAGGATTTACATGTGGCTGAGTATTTACATTCAGTTAAAGCTTAGGAAACTATTGAATACATTACAAATAGAGGATGTGTTATGCAAACATTTTAAATCTTATCCGATACATTAACTGGTTACAAGAGAAAAAAAAAAGCCATGAGATAATTTTCTGAGACAAGAATATTCTTTTGTCTCTGCAAATGTATCTCCATACATTTCAAATATTCCGTGCTTGATTTATGCCTCAAATAAGACTATTTTTCTACACACCTAGACAATTTTGATCCAAATCTGGTATGTACACTACACAAAGCAAATATTCAACTGACTTGCAACCATCATTACTATTTACATGGTTATTACAATGCTTTCAAAGAGGGTAGGAAACGTCACAGGAAGGAAAAGCAATTCTTGTGTCTCTTAAAGTATGCAACAGAACAAAGAATATAATAAAATCAAATATATAATTAACAAACAAACAAACAAACAAAAAAAAGCAACCCCAAAAAACCAACCACACAGTTATATACTATAACACCTTAACTCTTCCTCACCCACTCCCCCCATGATGCTGTAGTAATTCTTTCTTACTGCACGGAGCAAAAGGAGCTCTGTCATACAGCTGTAGCTCACTTGTCTTGTAGCCTCACTGGTTTGGGTAACTAGCAACACGGA